TCCTCCTCCTCTTCCTCCTCCTCCTCCTCCTCTTCTTCTTCTTCTTCTTTCTTCTTTCTTCTTCTTCTTCTTGATACAGAGTCTGGCTTCAGACACTTAGGCTCAAATAGTCATCCCTTCACCTCTCAAGTATACCCAGGCTCTGGTATGCATACCTGGGTCTAGCCTCACTTAATTGTTATGCAAACTTACATTAGCAGAGTTAAACTTAATAATCTTTTAAAATTTTACTTACCATGCTTCCCTTTAAAAACCATTATATATTTTTCAAGATGAAAAACCATCCCCCCTATATTTTCTTTTAATAGTTTTATTTTTGCTTAGGTCTTAAATAACATTATAATGTTGTGACATAAAGAATGGATCTAATTTTATTCTTTTTTTGCCCCAATGCCATTTATTGAAACTTCATTTCCCACTGTTTTTAAATTTATTTTTAAATTGCAAAGTATATATAATATGAACTCTTACAGTCTTAATCATTTTTCTCAACTTATTCTATACATTTCTTTTTGAGATGGGATCTTGCCCAGATTGGCCTTGAACTTGGGATCCTCCTGCTTTAGCATCCCTGGCGACAGCAGTATAGATAGGTATTTCCCAGCCTTGCAGCTTCCGTCCTTTTTGAGGCTGGATGGACAGTCAGGTTTCTTGTGTCTCTATAATAAATGCTGCTTTTATGGGACTGAGTGTGCAGACACCCGCTGCAGTGCCTGTCTCCATCCTCTGCCAATGCCCAGAACTGAGTGTGTAGACACCCGCTGCAGTGCCTGTCTCCATCCTCTGCCAATGCCCAGAACTGAGTGTGCAGACACCCGCTGCAGTGCCTGTCTCCATCCTCTGCCAATACCCAGAACTGTGATTTCCAGATCATAAAGTAATTCATACATTTTTAAAGCAATTACCATACAGTTTTCCATAGCTGCTATACCACATTGCACTCTACCCAACAATGTTCAAGGCTCCCACATTCTCTTTGACCCTTTCAACACTGGTTAGCTCCCCCCCACCAAATAGTCAGCCTGGTGCATGGAAATGAGGTATTTTCTGTTGTAATTTTTAAATGCGTCAACTTATTTTTGAGATCTTATTTTCTTATTTTGAGAACTTATTTTCTAATATCCCTATATTAGTAGAACACTGCAGTTAGTGTTGTGTTGTGGTAGTTTATATTTTTTCTTTAAACAAACAAACAAAAACTCCCCCATTAACAGTCTAAATCATTTTCAGGTATATTGGTGAATGTCTCTTCCCAATAGTATTATTGGTTTTAAATATTGAGTTTTAATCTTTATGAACTACTCAATTATTCACTCCTATACCAGAGTTTTGTTTTTTTGTTTTTGTTTTTGGCTAGGGTTTTTATTTTGTGTGTGCCCATCTGATACTCAGGGAACTATTGTATCTTGTCAGTTTGGTTATGACCCATACAAATTCTTTATTACTTGATTTCTTCCTTATCTTGTAAGCATTTCTACCCAGCACTCAGCTACTAATTGCTCTGTCTTAGTTAGGGTTTTATTGCTGTGAAGAGACACTACAACCACAGAAACTCTTAAAAAGGAAAACATTTAATGGGGTGCCTTACCATTCAGAGGTTCAGTCCATTGTCATCATGGCAGGACACGGTGCTGTGCAGGCAGACATGATCCTAGAGTTGAGAGTCCTACATTTTCATCAGCAGACAACAGGAAGTGAACTGAGTGTCACACTGTGGAAAGCTTGAGCAAAAGGGACCTCAAAGCCCACCCCACAGTGACACTTGCTCCAACAAGGTGGTACCTCCAAATTGTGTCACTCCCCTGGTGGCCATTTTCTTTCAAATCACCAGATGCTTCAAAGATCCAATTTTGATTTTCCTGGACATCTCCATTACTTTTGTTCTCACATTTTTACCAAGTTTTTTTTATTATATCCTTTCTGCTTTTCCTTAAGTTTATGCCCATTCTTTCTCTCTGCCTTCTTTCTCTCTTTCTCTTCTTTTTGCATGGAGTTGGGGTCGGGTGGAATTTGTGGCAGTCCCCCTGCTTCAGCCTCCCAGATGCTGGGATCACAGCATGAACCACCACATCTGACTTATTAGCTTCGTGGTGTACACTTTTTTTTTTGATTTTTCAAGTCAGGGTTTCTCTGAGTAGCTTTGTAGACTAGGCTGACCTTGAACTCACAGAGATCTGCCTGCCTCTCTCCCAATTGCTGGGATTAAAGGTGTGTGCCACCACAGCCCAGCTGGTGTACACTTTTGACCTTCTTATTTTTTTTTTTAAGCAGAGACTAAATCAACAAACGGCTGGACATTTATTACAAAAGGCTGGTTTTGTTTTTTTCCCTCCCTTTCTATGTTTTGTGTTTCCCCTTTATGTCCGTGATCAGAAGTCTGCAAGATTAAGTAACAAGTTCGTCAACACATATTTTGGAGCATAAAGGAAGGGGAAGAATATTCCCTGACCCAATGTAAATTAGGTGTCCCTCCTTGCTTGTTTATGTAATTTAAAATGTACGTACAGAATGACCTGAAAGTGTTGATGTCTATAGAACTCAGTCTTGAAGACATACACTCTACCATCTTCTACAACAGGCAGGTCTCAGGTCCTAACAATCCACCAATATGATTCAATACATACACTCCACATCCCGCAACAAAGAGCCTCTGCCTTGTCTCTCATTCTAGTCTTCTTCTGAGGTAACTCCATGGACCCGGCTGTGACCGACATCAATTTTTCCAAGAATATGCCTACACAGCATGGCTTCCTGGAGGGTCTTAAAGTTCCCAGACAGTAAATCTGAGGTTGAAAGCTCCACATGGAATGTTGGAGATAACTTGCAGCTCATGAGTGTAAGGAAGACTACTCCTAGGAGTCAGTCAAACTCGGTGAAGTTGGAAAACAAGCTGACAGCCACTCTAGAGAGGACGAGGACTTCCAGAAGCCAGAGTGACCCAGCCACAAGCACAAAGCCATCATCAATCTGCCCAAGGCGGGGCCGTAGCTTCTTCTGTCCTGAGCTCTGCTCAGACGCCTCCATGGTGATCCACTTTCTGCAAACTTGCTTTCAGAGTATCACACGGCAGTGTTCTCATCAATACAAACCTGCCTGACTCTGCCTCTTGCTCCCTTAGCCCTTAATTAAGGCTGAAGGACAAGAAAGAGTCCAGGACCAAAATCACATGTCAAGTTAAAGGGATGAGCTGACAGGCCCAACAAAGATGTTGGCAGACTCCTTTTTGCTTTCAGTACATTCATAAATATATTTTTTAAAAAGTCATCAGTAACTGCTGTAGTATACAAAAATAATTCGGCCCTTCTTCGACAGTGTCTGGAGCGGGGGCAGTGTTGTAGGGTGCCTGACAGGGAGAGGCCCTGCTGTTGCTTTGGCAACTCCACACGACTGAACTGAAGACCTACAGGCCCTCGTGAGTCCATCCATTCGCTCTCTCCTGTGGGCCCCATCATTCACTCAGTATGTGAGCTCGTCGCCTTTGCACAAGAGAGAACACTTCCTTCATTATTAATGGTGAAATAAACAGAATTGTACAACTTGTCATGAGAATGAAAAAGTAGAAAACCCACATCCATCCCAGGTTGTTCTGGATCAAAGACACCAGATACTGGCCCACGGCAGCACCGATACTCCCAGTTCCATCAACAATTCCTGTGACAGTCGCCAGAGCCTCACTGCTCCCTTGGATCAGCTCTTGGCGACCCAAGTCTGCAGAAAGAGCCAAGTTAATCATATTGGACAGTCCACCAATAAAAATCCCTGTAATGGTCATCAGAAGCGCATTGATGGACTTATTGTTTGGAGAGCGACTATAACCAACAAGGGACCCAACCGCCAGGAACAGGCTGAGGGCCAGCACAGGTGCTCTCTTCTGTAGCTCATTAGAGATGAAGCCTTGCAGAGTTCCACCTACAATGCCTCCAACATCGTACCAAATGGACAGCTTGTTGGCTTCGGCTTCCTTCCACCCGAAGCTGTTACTCAAATAAAAGGGCAACCAGAAGAAAAAGGAGTAATTCACCAGCTTCAGGCAGGCATAGGCCAGTGAGTATGGTATGACTCCAGGAAGGCAGCAAGCCTGATGGAAGCTGATTGCCTTCACTTGGGTGACAGCCCCATCCTCCTGGATTGAATAGTTAGGCTCGTTTCTTCATTTTCAGCACCATGGATAAGAGGCCTGTGTGAATCTTCTTCCGAGTTTTCTTCTGCCTCAATACTCAGGAGACCAATTTCTTCTGGTGACACTAGCAGTCCAAAGAAGATGACGATCCCACCAGCAAACTGCACGGACGTGGTCACCGGAAAGGCGTACTCATAACCATACTGCAGAACAGATGAAGCCAGGCATGCTCCCAAAATATTGCCCATTGAAGCACAGGCACTCCAGAGACCAAAGACAACTCCCCGGCCAGCTTTCCCAAACCAGTTGCCCATCACAGGCACCACGCAGGGCCAGCCCGTGGACTGCATGAGCTCACGGAGACGCTCGAAGTCTTTTTTTTTTTTTTTTTTGGTTTTTCAAGACAGGGTTTCTCTGTGTAGCTTTGGAGCCTATCCTGGCACTCCCTCTGGAGACCAGGCTGGCCTCAAACTCACAGAGATCTGCCTGCCTCTGCCTCCCGAGTGCTGGAATTAAAGGCGTGCGCCACCAACGCCCAGACTATTTTTAGTCTTTTAAAGATGAACATTTTATTCATTCCCCCTGTTAAGGATAACTTTATCCAATGTAATTCTGATAGTATAACACTTTGTCATTTAGGTTTAAATGATCTGTACTTCTACACTATTAGTTTTTACATTCTCTCTCTCTCTCTCTCTCTCTCTCTCTCTCTCTCTCTCTCTCTCTGTGTGTGTGTGTGTGTGTGTGTGTGTGTGTGTGTGTGTGTGTGTGTATGTGTGTACTGGAATGTCATAGTATGCTTGTGGTCAGAGAATAACTTTTTAAAGTCAGTTCCTTCCCTTCACCATGTGGGTCTCAGGGATCCGGTTCAGGTTGTCTGTCAGACTTGGTGGCAACCGCCTTTACCTGGTGAGCCCTCTCACCAGGCTGTTTCCACACTCATTCTATCAAAGTCAGCTTCTGTTTCATGTAGATGAGAAATTCATCTCCATTTTCCCAAGATTGTCATCCAGTTTAATGATTGGTTTTTATCTTTTGTAGAACTTGAATGGAAACTATCAGAAGTTGGCGCAATACAGACTGACTTGGAAGAAAACCCCAAAAAAGGCATTGCAGATATGATGGTGTCTTCAATTAGAAACATTTCCATTTATGACAGTGACAGCTCCAACAGTGATAATGATGCTAAATAGGACTCGTTAATAAATAGCTTTAAAGTATATGTATCCAATGCTTTATTTCCTTTGACTTTATAATCAGATTAAGTGTATAGACCTTATTTCCATTTTATGTAAGAATTATAGCCTACATGTCAACTGAAACATTTTTAGGTATTTAGGAATAGTGTCTTTTGCAAATACGAATTTTTACTCCTTAGTATTTTTCTGTGACTATAGCTGGAAGCTTTTCTCTATCTCACCCTGCCTGGGTCCCACTGGACCAGTTTCTCTCCCATCTACCGGTCTTCACAGCCACTTTCTCGTCCTACCTGCTGGTTCCCAGATAACCACTCTAAGGTTTAATATTAATTATAATTGTTTGGCCGATGGCCAGGCTTCTTACTGGCTAGCTTTACATATAAATTAACCCATTTCTAATATTCTATATATTTCTACAAGGTTTATGGCTTGTTACCTCACATCTTGTTTCCCAGGCAGCTACATGGCATCTCCTTGACTCTGCCTTCTTTCTCTCCATAACTCTGCTTGAATTTCCTGCCTAGCTGTATTCTGCCTGGCCATTGATGAAAACAGTTTTATTCCTCAACCAATAAAAGCAACACACATTCACAGCATACAGAAGGACATCCCACATCTGGTGACTTATTTTTTTCTGATTCCTGCTGGACAAAACCAACAAATACTCTGTGCTGCCTACTAAAGGACCCATGGGAGGAAATAAATATAACCTTATAAATACAATTAATACATTTTGTATATGTGCATCCATGTATGCATGGGTCTACATGACTATGAATCTGCATGTGGAGGTCAGAGGTTGATTTTGGGTCTTAACTCTTCTCCACCTTAATTTCTGAGGTAGAGCCTCACATAGCAAAGCTGAATAGTTGAGCAAGGGGTGAGCTCCCTTGTCCCAAACCTTGGGACCTTGCATTCTGCTCCCCAATGCTGCATCACAGGCACACAGACTTTGACTCAGGTGCTGAGGACCTGGACTAAGGTCACATTTGCTGTTTACCAGGGGAGCCATCTCTCTACAGAGTCTACTTTCTAGGAAAATCTTATCAAAGAAATGGCTAGCCAATTAAATTCATTTAATTCCTGAACTCCTTGAGAAATGGATGGGATTTCTCAAAGAGTTCGGGATACAATAATCATGGGATGAAAGGAAGAGCCATATTATCATAAAGTCACAATGCAGTTCTTGTGTTACCTAATGCAGGTAAACATGAGCATTGGTTTTCCTTCCAGTGAAACCAAGTGTAAAACACCTAAGCAATGTGCTCTTTTACTTTTAAATTTTTATTTATCTGTATGGGTGCTTTGCCTGAATGTTGCTCTGCACATTACTTGGTGCTTGTCAAGGAGGCCAGAAAGGGCATCAAATACCCTGGAACTAGACTTACAGACGCGTGTGAGCTGCTATGATGCTGCTGAGAATTGAACCCGGGTCCTCTGAAAGAGCAGTCAGAGATCTTAATCACTGAACTATTCCTCTAGCCCCTCTTTCTTTGTTTTTAAAGTGGCTGACCCTTTCTTCTTAATGTTAAAATTAATATTTAAAATTAAATGATAAATAAAAGCTAAAAGATAAACTTTTCCTTCTTGACTCTGATCAATCCACTAATGGCAGTTTGTTCACAAACACAGTTCTGAAAAGTGGCATTTGTAAAAAACCCCATACAATTGTAGTATATTAGAACAGGATGATTGTGAGTTCAGTCTCACCTTTCCACAAGATGTATACACATTCTTCCAGCAGAGACTCGTGATTATAAGCCTTGCTATTTCATAAATACATTTGTCATTCCAGTAGGACCTAGGTATTTGCCAGTCTGTGAGAAAATTGATATGTAATATTCTTCAGTATATTGAACAATTTGATAGGGTAGAAATTTGACAGTTTTTAACTGCCCAATATACAATAATTGTGACTTATGAAAGGAGACACTTTCTATTTCATTCTCATATTTTTAGTTATCCTTGACAACTGTGTACTATTGAAATCTCTTCCTCTACTTACATTGTCTTATTCAAATTTCCTTGTAGTGTTATGGGCATTTCCAGGAAATTTGTTAAAAGTGCATCAACTCTGGCCCTATCCAAACTAACTGGGTTGAATTTTCACTTTAATGAGATGCCTAGGTGATTGGCATGTGCATTAAAATTCCAGGAGCACTATGCAGCAAATCCCTTAAAGCTTGAGTGTGTTCACCTCTCCCCACACTGGGTCATTAAATCTATCCAAGTTGAAACTCAAGTTTCAGTTCCAAGTCAGAACTGAATTCAAGGAACTCTGAAGATGGAAGATACTGCTTTAAGATAGGGTATAGCTATATAGCCAAGACTGGACTCTAATGGGGTTATGTTATAGCCTGTTAGTTTTCTTCTCTTCCTTGGTCCATTTAGATTGCCTAAAATCCATATTGCATCCAAGAACTTGTTCATTAATGAGGCATGCTGAGTTCTCCTAGAAACTGGGTCAGCCTCCCATAGCACAGTCCTGTGTTCAACATGAACACAGATCAGGTTTAGCCCCATCTCTGCTCTTAGCTGCACCCCTACCCCTTGCAGAAGTATACCTAGTCTTGCAGTTAGAATTTCCTTTCTCTCTGTGTGTTAAAATGGTTCAAGCCCAGACAGTACTTTCAGCCAGTCAAATCCCAAGAAATATCACACCCTGACCATATCAAAATGGTGGGGATGTGTGCTTTGATTTAGTTCGACCCACCTCTGGCCAGTGGTTTCTCTTAGAGTCTCTGCCAAGATAGATAAATCTGCCAAGGATGAAATTTCAGCCTCCCTTTGGACTCTTAGAGTTTAGTGACAACTTCAATTTGATGCTATTGAAGCCTTAGTCACTTAACATGGAATGAAAAGGTTAAGACAGCACTCACTAGGAAATCAAGGAGATATGGCTTCAGGGATAGAGTAATAACACAAGTTTGAGGGCAACCTGGGCTACATACTTTATTGAGACTTGTCTTAGAAAGAGCCAATAGCTGGAGATGTAGTTGAGGGGTAGAGTTTTTTGATCCTTAGTACACACACACACACACACACACACACACACACACACACACACACGCGAGGATGAAGAAGAGGAGGCAGACACAGCGACACATG